AGCATGGAACAGTTAACTCATAATTTGAAACACAGAAAAGATGAATAAAAACAAAGCATGTTCATATGAATAGTTCGGAGTAGACTGTTGTACAAAATGTTCAAAAATACCAAGACTGCAAATGTAATATAACAATTCGCAAATTCACTTCTTAGTATTATGGTTAAGTAAGGATTCTAATACGCTCAGTATACACATTGGTGCTTTTTGACATGACCCTCCCTTAGTAAAGAAAATAATAGAGACAAATGCTTATTCCGAAAAAAATACTAAATTTTATAGGATTCTGTTTTCACTTTTTTACACCTAAGCTCGATAATAGAAATAACAGTTTTTGATAGGGAAAGGTTCTATTGTACTGTGAATAAGAATGAATCTTTTTTTTTCTTTTTTGCCGCTCTTGCATCAGTTCTTGGAGTAAGCAATGTTTCAGAAGTTATGTTGAGGCCTTCTTCAGGTCACTGTTGCTTCTAGGTAACGTCTATAAAATGAGTATTGCAGACCTATTATTAAGCCTTTTTCTTGTTGTCTGGTGATAAGTGTTATTCATATGGTTTTGTTGTTTGAAACGTGCGTGTATTCATAACCTGTTTCGCGTGATGTCATCATAGTGGCTGTGTTGTCTATGAGGAGTGAAAGTCCAGATGACGCTGATCACTAAATTTAGTTGCGATTAAGACAACGAACTCTGATGTGTTTGTTCGTAAGTTATCTTTTGTGATATCATCATGATAGTTTTTCCGTTTACAGTTCCGCCCTCCCCAAATAGAACAGCTTACGATTAGTCGCACTCTCTAAAGTCCAAAGTCATAGTGATGAAAACACTCGTCAAATAAAAATCGCTGTCATCCGTACTACTTTGAAATTATCTGATGAAAAATCCCAGATGTTTCCTCTTGCTTTCAAGACATGAAGCAGTTACCGTGTTTTGTAATTTCTTTCTCTTACGGCCAACCCTTTCATTTAATAATTTCCCTTAAATTATCCTCTAGTATATTTCTTATTTATTCTAATGGCCCAGCATGGCCCTAGTATATTTTTATTTATTCTAATGGCCCAGCATGGCCCTAGTATATTTTTATTTACTCTAATGGCCCAGCATGACCCTAGTATATTTCTTATTTACTCTAATGGCCCAGCATGGCCCTAGTATATTTCTTATTTATTCTAATGGCCCAGCATGGCCCTAGTATATTTCTTATTTATTCTAATGGCCCAGCATGGCCCTAGTATATTTCTTATTTATTCTAATGGCCCAGCATGGCCCTAGTATATTTTTTATTTACTCTAATGGCCCAGCATGACCCTAGTATATTTTTTATTTATTCTAATGGCCCAGCATGGCCCTAGTATATTTTTTATTTATTCTAATGGCCCAGCATGGCCCTAGTATATTTTTTATTTATTCTAATAGCCTAGCATGGTCAGGTGGTTAG